GGCTATTTGGTTGCAGGACCCCTGGGAAGTCACATATTACGTTGTGGTGCCAGCACACTCAGTTCTGATGTTTCCCAGAGGTTACAACTTAGTTGTAGTGCTTGCCCATGTACTTGATGAAGTCATACCCTTTAGTTTTGGTTCTCAAAAATACTTGGCTCTGGTGACCCACAATTCTACTGTGGCACAAAGTCTTTCAGACAACAGAGCTGCCTGAATCATCCTAGGGACATAAGGATCAAGCTCCAGGCCTCACATTTGCAAGACAAGTATTTTAGCCACCAAGGCCTCTCCTGGCCCCTGTTGTCCAGATACATTTGCTGTATCAAGAGATAGTTGCCCAGATGAGTGGGTATATTTGACAAAAACCAAAAAAAACCAACTGGGACATATTTAATTACTTGGGGAAAAAGTTTAACTTTATCTTCTCTCTCTAAGCTAAAATAAATTGTGTCTATTTCAAAGATGCGAACGTTAATATAAAATATTAAAATGATCCAGAGACACACAAAAGAATCTCTGAACTGAGCAACTTGCTGCAGAGATGCCTTCAGACTTTAAGCTAGGCCAGCTTGACTGGGCTGCCTCAGACAGGGGCAGGCGTCGTTCTTCCACCTTCCCTCTAAAAGCTCTGGCGGGCATCAACTTCCAGAAACCAATGAGAAGTGCAGGTACGTGGGTTCTGTCACGACAAATTCCAGACCCTAATTATCTAAAATTGTAGAATTCCAGGAGCATGCAGCCACTCTTGCGGCTGTGAGACATCTTGTGCTATTCATAACAAGCAATATAAAAGTGAGTATGGGGGAGATTGTCTGCTATAGAAGCAGGAGGAGGGGTGCCATGAGAGGGGATACTGGGGACCTTGGTGGTGGAAGATGTGCACTGGTGGAGGGCTGGATGATCGATCATTGTATGACTGAAACTCAAACAGAAAAGCTTTGTAATTGTATCTCACGGTGATTAAATAATAATAATACTGTTAGCTGTTCTGGAACCTCACCAAGAATGGCTATTTCATTTGGAAGAAACAACCCATACCTTCTCCCATTGGGAAAACCTCATGAATGACATTAAAATTTTTTTAAGCACAAAAAAATAACAATAATAATAATAATAAAATAATATAATAAAATTAACATTCTGAATTTTAAAAAATGTAATGTGGAGTTCATGCCCAACTCAATCAGCTTAATCAATGGCTGCACGCAAGACAAACGCCCTACCGCTGTGCTATCGCTCCAGCCCCATAAAGATTTTTTTGGGGGGGGTCACACCTGGCGATGCTCAGGGGTTACTCCTGGCTGATGCACTCAGGAATTACTCCTGGTGGTGCTCGGGGGACCATATGGGATGCTGGGAATCAAACCCATGTCGGCCATGTTGGCTGCGTGCAAGGCAAATGCCCTACCTGCTGTGCTATCGCTACAGCCAGGTTCAATTCCTCCGCCCCTCTTGAAGAGCCCGGCAAGCTACCGAGAGTATCTCGCCCACATAGCAAAGCCTGGCAAGCTCCCCATGACGTATTCGATATGCCAAACACAGTAACAACAAAGTCTCCAATGGAGACGTTACTGGGCCCGCTCGAGCAATCAATGGCTGAATAAATAGCTGTACTCCTACATTTAAAAAATAATTAAAAAATAAAAATGAAAACAAATATTTGTACAAGGGTGCCACCCCCATTAATGTAGGTGTATGAAAATATATAACAGAACAGAAATCATGACTAAAGAGAAATTTGTCCCAAATTACAAAATTTTGAATTCAAAACACCACACAGAAAAGATAAAAAGCAAAGAACTATAGTTTCCTTTTTAAAAAAATTATTAATTTTTGTTTGTTTTTGTTTGGGGGTTATACTTAGTGGTACTCAGAGTTTACTCCTGGCTCTACTTAGGGATCATTCCTGGCAGGGCTAGGAGAACCCTATTCAGTGCTGGGCATTGAACCCAGGTCTGCGGTATTGAAGACAAGCAGACTACTCTTGGTACTATCACTCTGGTCGCAAGAGTTTCTTTTCAATATTTATGTTAAGAAATTAAAGAACTTGATAATTCTTAGAATTTACCACAAATAAAGAGACACATTCTTTTTTTTTTCTTTTGACAGAAGACTACTCTGTTTATTTGGAGCCTTTAAAAGGTGGACTTTTTTTTTTAATTAGTGAAACACCATGAGGTACAGTTATAGACTTACAAATTTTTGTGCTTGGGTTTCAGTTATACAATGATCAAGTACCCATCCCTCCACCAGTGCCCATTTTCCATCACCACGGGTCCCAGTATCCCTCCCACCCCCCATTCCCCCTATCCCACCCTGCCTCTGTGGCAGGGCATTCCCTTTTGTACTCTCAATCCTTTTGAGTGTTGTGATTTGCAAGAGAGGCCATTGAGTGGCAATCATGTTTGGTCTATAGTCTACTTTCAGCATGCTTCTCCCATCCTGGGAGGATCCTCCCAACACCCTTTATTTGGTGCTCCCTTCTCTATCTGAGCTGCCTTTACCCCTAGAGTGTGCGGCTGGCCTCAAAGCTCTGGAGTGAACCTCCTGGTATTTATCACAGCTGTTCTTGAGTGTTAGTCTCTTATTTTGTTACTTTATGTTACCCAGATGAATGCAATCTTTCTATGTCTATCCCTCTCTTTCTGGCTCATTTCACTTAGCATGATATATTCCATGTAGTACCACTTGTATGTAAATTTCATGACTTCATCCTTTCTAACTGCTACATAGTACTCCATTGTGCAGATGTACCAAAGTTTCTTTAACCAGCCATCTGTTCTCGGGTACTCAGGTTTTTCCCAGATTCTAGCTATTGTAAAGAGTGCTGCAATGAACAAACAAGTGCAGATGTCACTTTGACCATACTTTTTTGCCTTTCTGGGGTATATTCCCAGGAGTGGTATTGCTGGGTCAAATGGGAGCTTAATTTCTAATTTTTTGAGAATTGATTGTACTGTTTTCCAAAAGGGTTGAAGCAGCAGTGAAGGAGAGTCCCTTTCTCGCCACATCCGTGGCAGCACCGGTTGCTTTTGTTCTTTTGGATGTGGGCCAATCTCTGTGGTGTGAAATGATATCTCATTGTTGTTTTGATCTGCATCTCCCTGATGATTAATGACGTAGAGCATTTTCTCATGTGCCTTTTAGCCATTTGGATTTCTTCTTTGAGAAAGTTTCTGTTCATTTCATCGCCCCATTTTTTGATGAGGTTAGGTTGGACTTTTTTTTTTTTTTACTTTACTGGCGCGATAGCACAGCGGTAGGGCGTCTACCTTGCACGCAGCCAACATGGCCGACCCGAGTTCGATTCCTCCGCCCCTCTTGGAGAGCCCAGCAAGCTACCGAGAGTATCTCGCCCGCACGGCAAAGCCTGGCAAGCTCCCCGTGAGGTATTCGATATGCCAGACACAGTAACAACAAAGTCTCCAATGGAGACGTTACTGGGCCCGCTCGAGCAAATCAATGATCAACGGGAGGGCCTTTTTTTTTGACAAATAAATAAATAACCAGATAGAGACTTTTAGGGCAAAGGAGCTCTGTAAGAGAAGTGGAAACTTTGTGTAGTTCCAAATGAACAGAAGGTGGCAGCAGTAAGCAGTGCATGTTTGCAGAAATGTAAAGGTAAAGGCAAAGGTAAAGACCCTACTGTTGATCATCGATTTGCTCGAGGGGGCCCAGTAACGTCTCCATTGGAGACTTTGTTGTTACTGTCGATTTGCTCCAGCGGGCCTGTGTCTGGCATATCGAATGCGTCACAGGGAGCTTGCCTGGCTCTGCGGTGCGGGCGAGATACTCTCGGTAGCTTGCCGGGCTCTCCGAGAGGGGCGGAGGAGTCGAACTCGGGTCGGCCATGTTGGCTGTGTGCAAGGCAAACGCCCTACCGCTGCAAAAACCAGGGATAGGAGACTTTGAGAAAGGTCAGAAAGTGACTATTATTTCTTTATCAGAGAGGCTGTGGTACAGAACATTCACCCTCTCTAGTAGGAATAGAGGGGGACAGAGGTGCAGGAGGCGGCATCTTACATGCCTGGGGCATTTCGAATCTGGTCGTGCCTGCCTGGGAGACTCCCTTGCTGCGGCTCATTTGCAGGCCCATGACATTTTGGCCCTAGCAACGCTGCGACTTTGAAAATCCCCTCCAATTCCATCAGGTTTTCCTGTGAAACTAGGTCAGCTCTCCTCTGTCGCAGCCTAGCACCATCAGGGTGCTCTGCATGTCATGTCTCTCCCTTCCTGTAGATTCACCATCTGAGAAATGTCTGTGGTCCTGATGCCATAAAGCTCTGCAGTTTTTAGCAATTGGGAGATCTGCTCCATCTGCTTAAAAGCCATATTTGACTTGAGATCTTGGGAACGGGCTCTTGCCCTGGTGGATGTAAACTGTTTATTAGCTTACACATGACCACGCCATCTATTAAGCATTTCTGAAAATGACTCCTGCTGGAGTGGGTGGTGATCTCTGTCCTCAGAGCACTGCAGGATCACTTGATCACTTGACTTCCCATTAATCGTCGATTTGCTCGAGCGGGCGCCAGTAACGTCTCCATTTGTCCCTATCACGTGCTAGTGTGGCCCAATGGCGTCTGTTCGTTCTAGGAACACGAAGAGCCTCAAACCGATCGTTCAGGATCTTGATGAAGAAGTCTGACCATCTGGTAGGTGGGCGGCCACGTGGTCTTTTGACGTCCCGTGGAATCCAGTCGGTAACAGCTCTAGTCCAGCGGTCGTCTCCAAATCTCATTACGTGTCCATCCCACTGCAGGATGATCCACCAATTTTTTCTCCAGGTCCACATCATCCTTATGCTAGATCTTCTCTTGCACCTCTCTCCTTTAAGCTGTAGCTTGGGCCCCTGTTAGCCATCCCTGCGAAAGAAGAGAGGATATGGGCAGTATCTACACAATAGCTTCAGCAGCCCCGGGTGCCCTGCAAAAGCAGCTGGTAGGAGGCTGGGCAAGCCAGTCCAGGAGCAGCCAAGAGATGTTCTTAATGCGAAAATGCCTAAAGGAGGTACAGAAACTGAGCAATACTTGTGGACTTCTGACTGGATCTGTGAAGGATCCATCAGTCTAAGTGGAACCACTCTTGTTCCTGTCATTCCTTGGGGAAAAAAAAATACTAAGAAAGGGAAATTCTAATTTAGAAAACAGTTTACCACTTTGTTTGTTTTGCTTTTTGGGTCACACCTGGTGATGTTTCAGGGGTTACTCCTGGCTCTGCACTCAGGAATTACTCCTGGCGGTACTCAGGGGACCATATGGGATGCTGGAATTCGAACTCAGGTCGGCTGCATGCATGGCAAACGCCCTCCCCGCTGTGCTATCACTCCAGCCCCTAGTTTACAATTCTGTGAGAACTTGGGAAGGTTAAAACTAGCTTAGAATCTGCGGTTAAACGATCATATTCAAATATGATTTAACTTGCAGGACAAGCTGAGTCATTGGCTGGAGATCAGAACAAAGCATAGACCAGCAATTTTAGAGACCCATGTGTTCCTTAGCTAGGAAAGCTTGAGTTCTAAACCATAAGGACACACCCAATACTCCATGCCTTTGGGAGAGGCCTGTTGGGTCTATGATGTTTGTGTTATGTGCTATGATTTGTGATTTGGAGAGTACTTTTCATGTTTCCATGTATGTCCATTAGTTTATGTATGTGACAGCTAAGCTCTAACTTTTCTCTTAATAAGAAGGAAAGTAAACAAAATTAATGTACACCACATTTCTAGGCTAGCTAGGTATTGGGCTTTTTGTTTTGTTTTTTGGGTGGCTTTTTTTTGTTTTGTTTTGTTTTTGTTTAATTTTTTTGGTTGTTGTTGGTTTTGGGGGGTTGGGTTTACTTCTGACCATGCTCAGGGGTTACTCCTGGTTCTACACTCAGGAACTACGCCTGACAGTGTACCATATAGTCAGGTCCCCCTCAAGGGACCAAATAGGATGCTGGGGATCGAACCCACATTGGATCTCTGCACAAGGCAAGCATCTTACCTACTGTTCTATCACTCTAGCCCTACTACTGGCAGTTTTGAGGCACAAACTACTGCTTAAAATATGAGTGGAGGGCAAAGAGAACTTGAGGAAACTTTGGCTCTAAATGAATCATATTTGGCTGATATTATTACTGTATTTTAATACTTAGTTTTGAGAATCACTAACAAACCACCTCCACAGTATTTTAAATTTGTGAAATACTAAGCTCGGAAATAGATACAGCATGGTGATCATTTCACAAAGTATAGGAAGTACCCAACATGGGCAAAGACGCTTGGAAAAGAATATTTTTATAAAGGGGAATTAAAAAGGAAGCAGTTTGTCAAATAACTATTATTTGAACAAAACTTTGCTATCTAAAATGAGAAGTTGATGTACACCTGAAACTAACATTTTATTATCAATTATTTTTTCAAAATACCCAAATTTCTCAGCTAACACTTGCATCTAGTCCTTAGCAATGAAAAAGGGGACAGCGGGAAAAGTCTGGAAAACATTCTCTTAACGCAAAGAAAAAAGACAGTGCCTCCATAACCTTGTTCATTTGGTTTGTTCACATCTTGATGAAGAACTAAATTGGTTAATTCAAGGGCATGTGAGGAAGTAGAAGGGGGAAGATAATCTAGATGATTCTGAAAAAGGATTCCTTGATTTTTTTCCCTTAGTTGTCAGGGGATACTTCATCTTAAACTGCCTTACAAACTCCATCACTCTGCTACCTTAAAACCTAGTGCACTTTGCAAACAACTCCTCAGAGAGTCAGTGAGATTGTTTACAATTCTTGGCAGGTCAAGGTAAACAGCCTTCAGCCAAAGAAACAGTAAATAGTCCTTGTGGGCAAAGAAAATGTCAACAGCCTCCAAGATCTGTCAGCCATTAGCTTCCAAAGGACTTAGCTACAGTGAAATTTGTACAAAGTTGCATTACACACCACTGAGACATCAGACAAACTTCTCAAAATCCTATCTCAAAACGTTCCAACTCCATCTGGTACCCTAACTAAGAGAAAAACAAACAGCATCAATAGTCATAGAGTAGTGGTCCAAGCTACTGCCGTTCTGAAGAGAACCAATAAAACCTTTAAATAACAACTGCTCTGTAGTGCCCTTTCTCTGATCTCTCTCTTAGTAAAGTCTTTCCTAACTTTACTCTGAATAAACTTTCACTTGCTTGAAAGGTCAAATCTCATATTCAATAGGCAATGTTTGGTGAGACAGACTAGGCCGGGACCACTTGACACAGCTCTCCCTGTAGAGGTTTGTTTATACCTGTACTTATCTGCAAGAATCCAGTTGATCATTTTAAATTCCATTTAGATGGGGTGTAGCTGGTCTGATAGCAAAAACAGCTGAAGGCGGGGAAAGGAGACAGATCTGATAAACCAGGAAGAGTTGAGTTCCAGGAACTGAGGATGCACTACTGCTTGGTTCTTCGGTGCTGCATTAAGTAATTTCTCTTAGAATTTAGTTCCTGGTTTAATCTAATACACACACACACACACACACACACACACACACACACACACACACACACACACACCCTAGGCTGGGTCTGGCGGGAATTACTAGAAATTTCTCAAACTCATCCCCTTTGATTTTGAATATTCACATGATAGCAGTGAATCATGTGACGAAAGTTGAAAATAAATTTCAGAAAGCTCTTGTCTTATTTTGAATCATTCTAGCACTTGACACAAACATTTAGCTAGTAATTTTGGCTGCTCTCTCTTTTTTTATGTATTACAAATAGATATAGGTCTCTGATGCTAAAAATTAATAGATGCTCAATCTCAGGGTGAAAGTATTAAGTGGCTTTGAAAAGAAATCAGGTGAGAAAATTGAACAGGGCTGAGAAGACACGGCATCTGGTCCCAGCATGACCACCACTAAATCAGTAATTGCCCTCTTATTTTTTTTTTAACCTGAAAATGAGATGTTTGGGCTGGGGGGACGGGAGAAGCACATGACTCAGCATAGTGCCTAGCATGTGTGAGTCCTGGGTTCAATATCTTGTCCTTGACATTACAAAAATACATGAAATGATGTAAACAAGAATGACATGCCGCAGAGATGCCTCCAGACCCCACACCAGGCTGTCTTAACCAAGGCAACTCGGAAGGGGGTGGGTGAATTCCCCTCTTGGTCCCAACAGCGCCCGGGCAAACAAAAAGTTCCAGAACTTAATCACTGTCATGCTCATGGCCACTCTCCACAGGCTTTGAAAAGCCTCACCCATGAGTGAATCTACTATATAATCGTATTCTAAATTTTAGAGTTCCTGGAGTGTGTGGCCACATTCATGGTCCCTAAGACTCTCATACTCTACACCACTGATGTACCAAGAGTAGCACAAAACATTTGATGGGGTTTAAAGTAGAAGGCAGCCAATCTCATGGGAGGAAAATATATATGCATATATATATATATGTATATGCATATATACATATATATATGCACACAAGACTCAACCTTTAACAAACATGTTAGTTATCTCTTATACAAAGGCTTAATGACACCAGGATGAAATACAACAATCTTCACACACTTTCCTCTAAAGAAAATTTGTTGGACTATTTTTAGAGGAGTATTCATAACAAGCAATAGCACTGTAGCACTGTCCTCCTGTTGTTCATCAATTTGCTCGAGCAGGCACCAGTAATGTCGTCGTTGTGAGACTTGTTGTTACTGTTTTTGGCAGATCGAATACGTCACGGGTAGCTTGCCAGGCTTTGCTGTGTGGGCAGGATACTTGCGGTAGCTTGCCCAGCTCTCCAAGAGGGACAAAGGAATCAAACCCAGGTTGGCCACATGCAAGGCAAATGCCCTATCCGCTGTGCTATCGCTCCAGCCTGTAACAAGCAATACAAAATGAAATGTTTCGGTTTTGCTTTAGGGGGCATCATTTGGGATTTGGGTTGGAATCATTCGAAATATGGCGGTGGGAAGGTGCAGCGTTGGTGGAATTGTGTTTGAATATTAAGTGTAACGAATTATTATGAACAACTTTATAAAAATTAAATTAAATTTAAAAATAAAATAAAGTAAAAAAATTTTAATTGAATTTTAAAAGGAAGGGCCAGGGAGATAACTCAAGTTTTAGAACATATCCCTTTCTATGTATCAGGCCCTGAATTCAAACCCAGTCCCCTGAGCAGCCACAGGTAAAATCTGGTGGCCCCTCAACAGTCACTCAAAGTGGTCCCTCTATAACAAAAAGAATAAAAATTAGAGCAAACAAAAAGCAGCTTTAAAATAACGTAAATAGAGGCGAGAGCAATAGTACAGGGGGTAGTGTGCTTGCCTTGCATGCAGCCAACCCAGTTTCAATCCTTAGCACTCCATATGGTCCGTATGGTTCCCCCAAGCATGGCAAGGAGTGACCCTGAGCAAAGAGCCAGAAGTAAACCTTGAGAACAGCCAGTGTGGCCCCCTAAAGGAAAAGAATTACAACTAAATAAAATTAAAATTATGTGAACACTAAAACAGGATAAATTTTTGTAAATAATACTTGTAGTGGGCTGGGGCGATAGCACAGCGGGTAGGGCATTTGCCTTGCATGCGGCCAACCCGAGTTTGATTCCTTCGTCCTTCTTGGAGAGCCCGGCAAGCTACTGAGAGCATCTCGCCCACACGGCAAAGCCTGGCAAGCTACCCCTGATATATTTGATATGCCCAAAACAGTAACAACGAGTTTCACAATTTCTTGTGAGATGTTACTGCTGCACGCTCAAACAAATTGATGAACAATGGGAGGACAGTGCTATAGTTCAATACTTGTAAAAATATGCTAATAACTTAGACACAGTAATAAACTACATTTTAACATAACTGCTTTATTTTTTATAGTTATGTATAATAAACAATTCCAACATAAACAGAAGTCAAGAGAATAGTATGCTGCACATCAGGATACCCATTACTCATGTTAAATAATTGTCTTTACTTTCCTATATTTGCTATAAGTACTTATCTACCTATCTTACAAAATTATTTGAATATAAATAATAAACAATGACATTTC